TCTTTCATGTGGATACGTATGTTTATACCAGGGATGTGACAAGATTTTAGTCAAATTTAATTTCAAAGACTTTTATTTAGTCAAATTTAAATTGAATATGCATGTATTACCTATGCTTTTATATGTCACATTTTATTTAGAAATTTTAACATAATTATAGTATATTAAGGATGTGAGATGTAAGAGTACCACATCAAAGTAATTTATAGATTTTGTTTGATGAGAATTTGAAGCCGTACAATTTTGTCCCTGAAATAATTAAAAAGCAAAATTTTTTAACATGCAATTTTCTATTTGTGAAAAAAGAGAAATGAAAGCTAAATTTCTTGTTTTACATTGCACATCTTTTATTATCTATTTGATGATACAATGGACAAAAACTCCAGTGTTACATAAGTAATAAAGTTTTATTCTTACAATGTGTTTCAACTGTAAATAATTTTTATAGAAACGCACCACTCCTAACATTCTCATATCTTCATGTATTATATTATTTTAATATTATTTTTATATATTATGTATTTTAAATATTGTATGTTTCGTAGAATATGTTTTTGTAGGATATGGTATTTGTCTATATGTATGTACATGCTCCGTATGTATAACGTACTCTTTGTTGTAAGTAATACTGTTGCATAATATTTGCGAGATACTAATTATTATATGTGACATAATTATATACTCGTAGCAATGTGGTTGTATTATATTTGTGTACAAATTGTTTTTAGTTAAACTAATATGATATTACTCGTATGTAAATTTCATTCAAATATTATCTGAGAACTTTTGTAGTCATGTTTCTATATTCAAAGTATATTTTGTGACAAAAATGTACTATATATACATATGTATACGTATGTATGTATATTTATATAATATTTAAGTGAATTATGACAAAACGTGCGTACGAACTTTATTGATTTGTCTATACATGATGTCTTGCAAAGAGGGCCTTGGTAACTGGATCTTTACAAGCGCCGATTTAACATTTTTAATCAATTTTACAAGGAATTATCCAATATTACACTTAAAACTTTATATATGTTTCGTCAATGAGCAGAAGAAACAACTTAACTTTTGGAAGAAATTAGGTGTCAGCAACCGGATCTTACTTCGAGCCAAATTTACGTTTTTGCCCAGTGTAACTTATAATTTTGTGAAGTTATCATTTTTTTTGGAGATATCAGGGTTTGTAAATGAACTTTCATTAGGGGTTGACTTTACATTTTTTATTGTGTCTAAAGGAACTAATTGATGGAATATTTGAGCCCAGCAATATACCACACCTAATTGACAAACTTTTCAGAAAATTCGGTTGGCATAAAATGAACCTCTACAAAGAACCAAATATATACTTTTCTGCATGTGTTAATTAAAAGCTTCTTTAAAATTTGAAAGAAATTTGAAAGAAAATTCACTAAACTAGACAATAGCTCTTGCGGTCGTTTATATGCCGATCACATAAAATTTTTTATTTTTTTCGATCATGAATTGAACCATCTGAAATACAATTAGCTAGGAATAGATATATTAAGAGTAGTAGATAAACTCAATAAATAGTGCTTAACGGTAAATGTCAACCATTTGTAGATATTATAATTACAAATTAGTTTCAAAATTCATGTTAGGTGTTACTCCACCAATTTGAATAATGTGCTGACTTTTTCTTGCGTTTCCCCATAGTTTTGTCAATATTCTTATTTTCTTTTTTGTAAATATTTTTTCACTAGCGAATCAAAGGTTTTCGTGACGTTAAATTTAATTTTAAAGAAAAAAACGTATTGTCTTTATAGCAAACATTATACAAGCATAACATACTTGCAGACGAATAATGTAAAGTTATATGCGCTTTATAAAAATATTCGTTTTTGACATAAACACAGAAAAAAAAAAATTTTTTTCTAGTTAACCTTGAATAAACTTAAATATGATGGTTATTGATAGTAATTATACAATATATGTACATTTAAACATACATACATTGACATATGAAAGCTTTGGAGTTGCAACAGAAAATTGTTAAAAGTAGCTAAAAAGAGTAGATTTTTCTCCGAACTCTACCGAATATTCATTATCTCTATATTTGTCTTAACACTCCATATACTTCTGATTTAAAATTATTAAAAAAATTCTGCAATCTCTCTATTAGCTTTAAATGAACATGTATACAGATCTGCATGACATACATGTACATGAACATATATAATATATTTTAGCTTTGACATTGGAATCCAAAGTAATTAACATTTTTAAAGCTAAAAATTTGATTATTCAAATTGAACAGAAGTAATGCTTATTTTTGCAAATAGTGTCGGCCTGAGCTGAATGTGCATACAATTAAAATTAGTTATTTTTTTATACCTTGCACTTTCATGAAGGGTATATTCACTTTGGTATGGAGTTTTGTAAACCATTGAAGAAGTCGTCTCCGGTAAGGCGTAAAATTCTGCGTTGACTTAGCCATGTCCGTCCGTCCTTCCGTTTGCTTATCCGATCGCACGATAACTCAAAAACGAATAATGCAATCGACATCAAACTTTCACAAGTTGTTTCTTTTCTACCAAGAATTCGGGTAGCTGCCATACAACTCAAAAAAATTTTTTTTTTATTATTTCAAAAACTAATAATATCAAATTTTGCAAAGATGTGTCCAGTTACAATTTTCATATGTTCTGAAAATTTGAATGGAATGATTGCACTAGTTCGGGTAGCAGCCGTGCAAATCCAAAAGCTAATTTTAAATATTTGCAAAAATAATAAAGCCAGATTCCTGAAATCGGCAGTCATGTGTCCAATTGTAGATTACATATATCACTGAAGTTTTGGTGGAATGGCTTGACAGGTTCGGCAGTCGTGTGTTCAAGTGTAGGTTACATATATCCCTGAAGTTAACAGGTTTGAGTAGATGTCATGGAACTCCAAAAGGTAATTTAAACTATTCAACAAAATATGTAATAATTTTAGATATAACGATTCATGAAATTTGGCAGTCGTGTGCCGAATTTCAGGTTACATATATCCCTGAAGTTTTGAAGAATTGATTTTACAGGTTTCGATAGCTGCCACAAAGCTCCAAAAACAAATTTAAAATATCCGAAAAAAATTTAAATTTAGGTTCATGGAACTTGGCAATCACACATATCGGTGCAGTTCCTATAAAGTGGTTTGACAAGTTCGAGTACTTGATATACAACAATGAAAGCTAGTTCCAGATATTTCAAAAACAATTTTTTAACTCAGATGTAAAAGGTACAGCTTTTACTTGTCGTATGTAAATTTACTCTTTTTCTATATGCATTTATTATTTGCTTGTTTTTTAAAGGAACTAAAAATTTTGATAATAAAAAATTCTTAAAGGTTAGTGATTTGAGCAAAAAATGGCCTTTTTTATAACTTTCATAATTAAATTATAATTTTTTATAAATAAAATTGTTACTTTACAGTGATCTGAGTTGCTTTAATAAGCCTAACATACAGACTTGCAATATTATGTGAAGTTAAAATTTTTCCGAAAATTATAATATGTACGTATTATAGGAACATGGAAGAAAATTCACTGTATTACTTTTATAAAATTACTTTTATAGGTTTTCTCGATTAAACTATACAAACTAACTATGTACATACGCAGAAACACATGCAACGTGTCGCTTACAACTTATACTTTTAATCTAGTTAATATCGATTTTCAAAATATTTTATTTTTGGCAATTAATTTTTGAAAACTTTTTTTTTTCTTAATTTAAAAATTAGTAAAACAAATGGACTGGCATATTTTACTAAATTTTTTTTTTAATTTTATTTTTGTTGTTTTTGCTTCATAGTCACAATCTTTAGTTTTATTCAATACTTCTATTTATTTTCGTTATAATTTAGCTTTTACAAAAAAAACAAAAATTAAAACCCAAACTAAGACACCGCACAATATACAAAAACATAGAGAAAAAAATTTTTTTTGTTTCTGTTATTATTTTTGTTAATGTTTTTACCTTCACGAATGGTAGCACGCTTAGTCAGTATTTCGTTGTAAGTCGAATACTATTCACGCTAATGTTCTCCATTACAATTATTATTGAAAAAAAGAAATAGAAAAAAACAAGTTATTTTAAAAATTAGAACAAAACAAAAAAACATTTAACTGATTTACTCGAATATTAATTAATTAGATAAATTATTAATTAAATAAAATTATATTGAAAGAAATTAAAATTCAAATGCACTATTCAATTATATTTTGTTTTTGTATTTTGGTGTTTAATTAATATGTAATTATTTGTGTATAGGTGCACAAATACTTTTATTTTAGTATTTATATTTTATAGCTGATTATTATTTGTTATACAGTATAACTATTAAACAAAACAAGAAAATCAGCTAACAAGTTTGTTATTTAAAAATAAAGGAAATGAATGTATATGTATGTGCTTTTGTTTTTGCAAAATATTTTATAAATTTCAAACATATTACCTTTAATTAATTGGTTCTATTGAAAACTATTCACATAATTAAAAGAAATCAATTTAAAAACAAATTAAAATAAAGTGATAAAAAAACTTAAAAAAATAATATTTCTAATTTCGAAAAGAAAAGTATATAAAAATATTGAAAATCAGTTTGTTTCACTAAAACGTGTTTAATTTTTACTTATACGGAATTGATTCCCATTATTGTTCTCAACTAAAAATCTAAAGTTCATTTTGTATTTATCAAAGTCCGAAATATTGATCCTCATAATATTATATTGTATATGTATATGTATATACAAATGTTTTTATTTCATTCACACAAAGTTGGACTTTAAACAATAAATTGTGTATTTAATTTAATGTTATATTATGAACTATGAGTTTATATTATTAAATGTATTTATGCATAATTACGCGTTCAATTTAAATCAAAAGCAAAAAATTGAATAAAACAAATCAAATTGAAATAATATTTATATAAGTATATATGTTCATAAATTTTAAAAAGATTACGGAAGTAAAGTGACTTGAAATAAAAATTTTAAAGATTAAAGTTTAAATTTTTTTGACATTCTTGCATACAATATACAAAATAATAACCAATTAAAAATTTTATGTATTTTATATAAAATTAAATAAATACATGTAATAATTTTTAATAATTACACATGTGTATATACAGATGTAAACATAAATACAAATAATATATAAAAAATAACAAATTTTTTAACTCATCTTTTTGAAGGTTAGTATTTTTATTTAATTTTATTTTATTATTGTTGTATGACCGCAATTATTTTCAATGTAAACATTGTTACTTACTTGTTTTTGTGCTTTTTGTTTTTAAGAAATTGTCTATGTATGTGTGTACATAATAAGTGCTATTTTAACATCATACAAATCATTGTAGTGAATGACCTTAACAAAAAATAAAGAAATAAAAATTAAATTATAAAAAATATTTTCATTTTTTAAAGTATCTAAAGTAAATAAGTTTTTGGGTATTCTAAGCCTAATGGGAATTAGAAAAAAAAACGAGAAAAAATAGAGTTGACCTTGTCAACTCTGTGATACCCGTACGAATTTGTTATCCTATATGCGAATAAATATACCATAACTGACTATAGGACAGACTATACGACAGACTTTGACTTTAAGTTGTCGTATTACCATATTAATTTATGCAAAATAGCTCATTTTGGTGAACATAGCTCAATTAGTTTTTGAGTTATCGCTGGGGCGGACGGACGGACGGACAGACAAAGCTAAATCAACTCAGAATTCGACGCTGATCAAAAAGTTTAGCCTTACAAACGCTACGTACGTTTATAATAATTTTGAATGATTTAAATTTGTTGTTTACTTTTTTTATATGTTTTCATAAAATTTCCATTGACAGGAATTGAATTTTAAATTACTAATAATATTTGCAATGATTCTCTTATGTTTTAATGAAATTTCTTGAAAAAACTATGCCGGATTATTCACCAATACTATTCAACCAAGTGGTTGAATAGTATTAAAATATTTTATGTGGGGATTTTATATTAGAAAATTATAAATAAAAAACACTTTTGGTAAAATATTGAAAGAACAACAAAACAAAAAATTTTTTTAGTTACTATTATTCTCACTAGAGTTGAATTCGATAAAGTAATCAAAATGTTGAAGTTGAGAAATTTTAATTAATAAACAAATTAATTAATAGATGAGACAGATTACGGGAATAATTTTATCTATTATACACATTTTATTTTGTTGATCAAACATTGGAAATTCCCCAGTTTACCTCTACTTGTTACTGTACGAATTATGTTCTGAGTTTAATAAAAATCTGTTATTATGATAAAAAATAGAAGTCAAGTATGTTTATATTATGGTATATAAATATATATGACTCCTATGTGGATACATATATTCAGATGCATATACTGTTTCAAACAGACAAAATAACAAAAAAGCTGTTAGTTTTAAAATCTACCAAAACTCGGTTTAGTGTTACACAATCAAAAAAAATAATTTAAACGTATCTTTAAACATTAACACTATTCAACATATTTTTCTCGTTTTATAGCTCTGCGAATATCACGTAAATAGTTATAAATAGATTGCGTTGATCCAATCGCTTATTTCGTTCTGTTTTGAGTAATATGAAATAAAACTTATTTTGGCATATCTTTTGGTTACATATACACTCATATTTTATAAAACTTCAAGCGTGGTAAAACTTCTAATAGGGTAAAGTAAAGTAACGCATATTAATTTCGATAGCTGGTTTTACATTTCGCCATAATAAAAATTGAATCATAAATCCTTTAAGTTTAAATGCATAGTCATATTTATTTTATACATAACAACCTCTATCAAAATTGTAGTGCAGTGGTATAAATCCAAACAAGTTTAATTTGTAACTTTTAGAAAAATCGCATTTGTTGTGTATTGTACAATTAAAAATTTGTAGACAAATATAGTGTGTCTAAAAGTATTTATGAAATCAAACATTATTTATGGGAAATAATGGCTATACACCCGTCTTGTATTTGAATTTCCTTCAAGAGTATACTTAAATAATAGGTACTTGGAAATGTTGTGCTACTGTTCAAAATATTTCGTTTCCATTATTTATTCGTATGATTGCAACAGCTTATTTCTGTTAGGAGTTAATGATGTTATAAACAAATACACAAATAAATGCAAAAAACTTGTTTTACAAAATCATTAAATAACACGTTTGTAAGAACAGAATAAGTATGCGTTACTAATTATAATGGAAATTATGCCAGTTAATTATGTGAAATCGACACAATCAAATTTTACTTTCCGAATTACTGAATGGTTAATGTTATAAAATCTTCAAGTACATATTTAAAAAAAAAACGGGAAAAAGTAGAGCTGACCGTGTCAACTCCGTGATACCTGTGCGAATTTGTTTTCCTATGTGCGAGTTATGAATATCGCAATACCTGACTATGACTTTAAGTTGCCATATTGCCATATTAATTAATGCAAAATTTCAGTACTGTTTCATTTTTTGTGTACAAAATTTCAGTACTTTTCAATATTTTCTAACATATGGCCAAACTACTATTATTACACAAGGAGTCAAGAAATTTCAACGAATTTTATCAAACACATTGGTCCTACTCATGTATTTGCGAGAAATTTTAATTTGTGAGAAATTTTATTGCAACAGCTTTTATAGTTTCTGAGATATAGCCAAATAACTTTTGAAGTCGAATGGCAGTTCCCCGAACCTGTACCTCGATCATAACCAATTTTAATAGAGTTCTGGAATTTACTGGAATAAATTGTTTGTGGAAATTTGGTGAACTTGGCTCAATTAGTTTTTGAGTTATTGCTGGGACAAAGCTAAATCAACTCAGAATTCGACGCTGATCAAAAACATACACTTGTGTCTATATCTCAGACCGTTATTTCTTAGTGTTACAAAAGGTAAGGTAAATTTAGTATACTCTTGAAAATACGTTCGTACGGGTAAAATAACACTTCCTATTTTTAATCGTAAAGCGGGAAATAAGTGATTAAATATGAAAGTTGCCTAAGCATTGAGCATACAATGTTCAGTTAGTCATACAAGTATAAAATACTTAGCGTTTCTTAATATTTCAGTTTTCCTTTCTCTTTATGTTGCTTGATTGATGACACCACATTTAATAAATTATTCCAATTATTTTTTTTCTTTTTACTAGATTGTTATATAATTTACTTTTCATTTTAGGTTTTTTGACCTAAAAAGCATTATTTTATTCCTTTTATCTATTATTCCGTCATTCTTTGCTTTTCAAATACAATAAAAAAAGTAAACTTTAATTCTAATTTTAACTTTTATCAAAATCTGCTGCTTGTTGTTTTTATTTGCGCCGAAATTCATTCAATCATTATAACAATTTTCATTTAATAATAATTACTAAGTAAATACACTTAATTTTTTTATATAAAAAAAAAACGAGACTATAAAATAAATGGCCTCTCATACATACCCACATATGCCCCCAATAATAGTAGATATTTAGTTAATTACTTTTGGGAATTAGAACAAATGTTTCTATATAGTACCTAGTTTCAGTACCACCTATTTTTCAGTAGGTGGAAGTAAAATGTGTTTGTACTTGGTAAATTCCTGCGTAATTATAACAATAGCGTTTTCATAAGATGAGTATAAATGCCGTTAATTATTCAAGTAAAAATAAAAAAATTGCGCCATAAGAATGTCAAATTTGTATAATATTTAACATTTATAATACATGTATGCATATAAATATATACAATAATAATATAAGTGTATTTGAATTAATTCATAGTGAAAACTTATCTGTTTCACATCATATTTTATGTCTTTTGTAGTAGCTAATCATTACTTTTCCTTGTTCAGGAATCATGAGTATTCTCTGTTAGATATACAAAATTTAGAGTGACAAATAAGCATTAAAAAGAGAACGATAATAACGCCATAACGTTTTCAGCGTTCATTAAAATTAACTTAGTCTATTATATACGATTTCCTTAAAGTATGCAATGTCACCAAAAATGCTTTTTGACTATGCTTCAATGAGGTTTTTGTCGGTTGAATATTTTTTATAATTTAATTTTTTGTTCAATGCACATCAATTGTATTTATTGTTCTGCTTTCTCAAATTTTCTCCTATTTAGAGCAATCGCGGTACTTAAGGGTTAATATTTTTCAATTTCTGTATGAATTGTGCTTCATGTTATGTTTAAATTTTATACAAAAGGTTTAAAGTATTAAATCTACATTATATACTACATTTGTGCAAAAATAGGTAAGATTTCACAAAACATTGAAAAATTCCTTAACTTTAGCTTTAAACAGAATTTTTTACTTTTCTTGCAAATGTGTTTTTTTGATTTAAAATAAATATTTTATTATTACAGTTAATTAAAAAATAAAACATAATTATAGGAGCAGGTAATTGTTTATTTTTCTTTGCACTGCAAATTTTATAAGAAGATTTTATAAGAATTTTCCCAAATATTTCTAAAGAGAAACTTTTGGGTAAAAAAAGTCTTTTACCAAGTGTATAATTTCAAACACATATTTGGTTTGTCAATGGCCTTAAAGAGTTTTCTTATATCTGATGAGAAAAACTTGAGTCAGAAATTACTGAATTAAAGTTTTACTTTGATGAGGAAATTAATATATCAAATATTAAGATTAAAATATGAAAATAATATCAAAATCGAAATGTAGTAGAATAATTTTAAATTATTTTAGTATTTTTCATATTTAATAAGCAAAAATAATATGCAAGTTGGCAGAAAACAGGACTGGCTGCAAAAATGAATAATCAAATATTTCGATTAAAATACGTAAACGTAAAACTTTTACTAATGTAGCTGAAATATTTTATAAAACAAAATTTATGAAAGTTAATTAAATTTTGCTTATTATTTTCATAATACACACATATTACTCCTATAAGAACGCTTCGAAATCAAATTGTTCTAAGCCACACTTACACTTTATTGCAATAATTGCCTTTTGATGATATATACGAATCACAATTTTCCTTAATGCTTTTTTTTGTGTTTTAAAGAACGTATTGTAAAATTTTGCAGATTACATCAAATAATATGAGAATATTTCTGGTTTTTCGAAAATAACGTGAGTATAGTACCAACTAATAAAATTTGCTAGTTTTGTTAACAAATTTTATTAGTAAGCTTCATACTAATTTTGAGTACTAATTTTGACTTTTTAAAAAA